AGAACGCAGCTGTGAGACTGTTGACAACGTTTTGGAGGAGGAAGTCATCGTCATTAACGGTAAAGAAAAGAACAAAATGTTCCCTGTGATTGTGAACCCGGCCAACACCAAATATCTCACCCTTACTTTCAACGTGAACTCTACTATGCAGGAGACCATCTTTGGCAGGAGTTTCAGCAGCATCTTCACTGTTGGTATCCGCTGCATGGAGAAACCAGCCTATATATCCGCACGGTTCACCGACCCTGAGACCAACAAAAGCGTTGAACTTTCTCCAAAACGGTTTACCGGCTCTGTTGCTTGGCAGACATGGACCTTCCCCTTTCTTGTTGCAGGAAGTGGAAAGTTTGACATGACATTGAATTTCACAAATGCGTCTGGGCCATTCGGATTACATTTCCTCAGACTTGACCTTCAGGAAACATTTGGATCTCTTCTGCCGTGGGCGTTTATCAACCCTACATTTGGGTTTGGTGGCAATATGGTTAACTTGGCTAAATCTGACACTACATCCTTAGACGGAGTTGAAGAAAGTAAAGGCCCGAAGATGAGGGTCCGCATGCGTGGGTCAGGTCGCAGAAGGCAGATGACGTCTTTAATCCTGTCCAGCACAGAGGATGGAAGTGCACAGATGCTTCCCAAGTTCATCTTCAACCAGAATGGCAGTGCTCTCTTCTACCCCGATCAGTCTCCAGATGCACAGCCAGTGTTTGTGATGGGCAATGACGACTCGAACGGCATATCTCCATTTCCTGTCATGGACATCTCGAGGGTAGATATAACTTCTAACAACTCAGCCTATGAACTGAACATCATGACCAGGTCCTTCAGACGGGCAACTGTCCTGGTATCTATTGAAGGCAATAAAACTACCGTGAACCTGAAGACCTCGCCCTCCGTCGCAGACCAACATTCCCCGCTGTGTTCCCTGATGTTGCCTTGCTGGGGTGTAGGGTATGGGAAAACTGCAATCATCTCCGCTGATGGGATACAGACCATGTCCATGTTTTCTCCCTGGAGGTCTTTCAAGGGCCATACAATCGAAATGCAACGCTCGCAAAACGTCACGGATGACCAGTCTTAGCTCCCCGTGTATCTGGTCAAGTTATTTGTGCTGTTATAAATACTACCCTTGAACATTCTTTAGCGGCATCAAAACTGGACATGAAATCATTTTATGACACTCTAAACAATGCAGCGCCATAGACAATGGTTTCCACTCAAAGACCACCTAATGATTTAATTGTACATAACAGTAATAAAGTGCTGGTGCAAATATTTCCACGCAAATGTGCGTCGTTGATTTCCTGACATTTTGGACCCGTGAATTGATCTTCAGTAACCCGTTTGAGACGACTAACGGGATCGGGTGGTCAGGCTCGCTGACTTGGTTGACACATGTCATCGTATCCCAATTACGCAGATCGATGCTCATGTTGTTGATCACTGGATCGTGTGGTCCAGACTCGATTATGTACAAACCGCCACCAAATAGCTGGAATATACCTAAATGCGGCGTAAGAGAGATAGAGAGCAGGTAATTACTACAGGAAGTATATATATATATAAATGTATGCACATGTGCGCACGCACTTTGTAGAGCGAGGTGAGAAAAGCTTCAGGGAGTCACTAAATTGTGTGCAGCCATACAAATATTAAAATTTGGGGTAACTGATGAAGCTCGCGCGTGATTGTTGCATAAATACACGTGTGCGTTAGAGGAAGGATGCGGTATAAAAAGAACATCAGACTCACAGAGACAGAACATGACGGAGCTATTAGTATGGGCGACATGGATGGCTCTCAGCGGCAGATTGCAAGAACCTTCAGTTGCAGTGAAGCCGCCATCAGCAACTTGTTAATCCGTTATCAAGATCGGGAAGATCAAGATTCAAACGTCAGCTGAGTTGAAGTCGGCTACATTCGAAAAATCCACCTGCTGTACCGATGCATATCAATTACGTTAACGGTGGCAACGGCTCTGGGATACTCCATCAGCATACGAACAGTCTCACGACGACTGGAACGACCGTAAACCAGCCTTAACCCTTCTACACAGACAACGCAGATTACAGTGGGAGAGTCCTGCTTGCGGGTAAAAGTCGCTTCAACCTGTCACAAAATTATGACTGACTCCGTGTTTATGGACATAGGGAAGAACACCATACACCTAACTGTATCCAAGTTGTGCACCTTCATGATTGAGGTGACGTTCTTGTATTGGGTGATATTTGTGGCGGGCAGAGTAAGAGGTTGGTCATCAACCATGGAAATCTGACTGGCCAAAGGTACAGGGATGAAGATTTGCGACCTGCCGTGGTACCATTCTTACGAAGGCAAAGGGGTACCCTTTTGCAGCAGAACAATGTACAACCTCATACCGCCTGACTGGTTCAGAATTATCTGAAGCACGTCATCTTCAACATTCGTCCTTTGCCAGCACGTTCTCCAGACATATATCCCATGGTGCTCCTTTGGGATTATCTTCGCCAACAGCTGATACATGCGTGCATCACGCTGAAGACCTGGATTCGATTCCCCACATGGGTACAATGTGTGAAGACCATTTCTGGTGTCCCCCGCCGTGATATTGCTGGTATGTTGCTAAAAGCGACGTAAGACTAAAGTCACTCACTCACACGCTACTAAGGACATATCTTGTCACTTGGCACATGATTTGACTTTAGGTGCACCTTTTAAAGAGACTGTCTCTGACTTGCGTTTGTGTATTTTTTTTAAATTAACTTTTGCCCCATGTGCCTTTCGCTTCTCCTTTTTCATAAGCAGTATCGATTATGGCATTGAAATTTTGTACGGTGATCGAAGAATGATTCCTTTCAATGGTGAGCATCATATATATATATATATATATATATATATATATATATATATATATAATATATACATGTATACGGCAATATATATACGGCAATATAAACTACCGGACCAAACAAACTTCACATATTGTTCAGTAGCTCCATAACGAGAAGCAAAGACTGACTGTATATATATAAGTCTTTACTTCCCGTATTTTACAGGACCTGAGAAATAACCATGGAACATTGAACACCATTCACACGTCTAAATGATGTTTAAAAAAATACTAAAATGTTTGTCCGAAATGTTGGTGAGGATAGAGTTCAAATATCTGAAAACCGAGTTAGACCTGACAAACTTATTGTAAGTGCACACTTAAGTTTGTCGTTTAAAACCAACATATAATGTTGACCTCGTATTTCAGATATATTCCCATCCTTATATTTTACTGTGTGAAATACCCATTAGTTGTTCTCCATTTGTCTGTTTGCTGTTTTAATAGGGTCTGTTATCACTATATCTTATCAAATAAAACATATTCCAACAGGGCGTGTGAAACACTGTGTATTGGAATGACTGAAGCACTCGATAAATCACTGATACAAACACAGCCTGATCTGGCAATGAAATAGGATTGTTTCTGTCAGGCACTGGAATCTGAATCAATCTCAGTTTGCAGTACTGTACTTTAATGTATACTACTAAACATTTTCTAAGGATCACGAGGTCAAACTGTGTGCAGGAATAGCTGTGTGTGCAGGAATAGCTGTTGTGTCTGTTGGAATAGCTATAAACAATATTGTATGAATACATTTCTTTATGGACCGCCTCCGTGGTGTAGTGGTTAGAGCGTCCGCCCGGAGAGCGGAAGGTCGCGGGTTCGATCCCCGACCGCGTCATACCAAAAGACGTTAACATATGGTACTTGTTGGTCCCTGCCTGGCGCTCTGCATTAATGGGCAAAACAAGGACTGGTTGGCTCGGATTCAGTATAATGTGTCTGAGTTGGGTATTCATGCTTCACTGCGGCATGGTATCTCAGTGGGCTAGCACTATAAAACCAGCTTCAGTCTGGGCTAGTACATGCAGCCGCACACACACATACACACGCATTCACGTCGGCATATGAGCGAAATATTCTCAAGCACGATGTAAAACCCAATTTCACCTCACCTCACCTCACATTTCTTCATGATCTGAATTCTGTTGTCATGCGTCACACACTGCCCACAAACATCTAACAGACAACAATAATGAATCTGTAAACGAAACTCACTCGTCAAAAAATCCTCGCAAACTAATTCATTGTCCGAAAGGGCAGCATGGTCTCATGCTACAAGCAAGTGTCTGTTCGGTTGCCTCTCTCCAGTAAGATAATAGAGTTGAAGTCGGGTGACTGGGTGGCCACTCCATGTGGATCATGGTCTCCTGTAAGTAGGTATGAATGACCTGGCCATAAGGATAATGTCAATTCAACAAGCATGTGATCCTATGTTAACATAAAAAATGCTATTACAGTGGCGCATATGTCTGCAGTATGACAAAGGTTGGTTCTTACAGATGTACCTATACCACCACATTCATGACTGAGCCGGTCATGTTCGGCTATGATGGAATCCTTAAATGCTTTGCCTTGTCTCCACCATACTTATGCATGGCCACCTGTTAAGTCTAGACAGTGTCTCGATTCATCAGTGAAAAAGTACTGGAGCCCAATCTTGTTCTGTTCAATTGATGTGACCTTCATCACAATGCAAACTTGCCTGACTGCGATGCCAAGTAAGTGGGCTGCGTGACCGCAGAGCAGCCTCATGGAGACGACTACACACTCTCCGAGTAGAAATGTTAAAGCCACTTGTATTCCACAGAGAGCTTCTAAGTGTGGTGGCAGTCTTGCTACAATGAGAAGAAATTTGCCTTCCCACTGTAAGGTGGAACACTGATGACCACCTGCAAGCTGATCAAAATGTCTGGTGTCAAGTACATGCCCTTATGATCACTTTGGCTGACACCGAAACATTTGCAACTTAACGATGTAATAACGACCTAGTTTTAAGACTAAGTGACTGTACAACACTGTGTCAATATGGAAGTTTATCAATGAATCCACCGCTCCACTGTGGCTGTATAGACAATTCTGCCAAATCCTAATTAAGTGGAAATAAGAAAAAAGTTGAGCACAGTTAACATTTGGGATAGGTCATTTAATGGATAATGACAATATACAATGTAAATGAGTGAAGCTTCCACACAAAAAGTGAGACAATAGTGATATTCTGAGCTATGAAGACCAAATTGATGGAAACTGTAGTAGGAAGTAAACACAATATTAATGTCCATACATAATGTAAATTGTTCAAGTCAAATAAACCACAAACACTATGGGAACTATACAAAGTGTCACTGACAAAAAAGCATCTTTCAAAATGTCTTTACTGATGAAGTCACAATTACGCTGGCTACCATGATGGCTGGTGGGCATGCCAGTGCATCAGCATCACCTTGACTGCCCTGCAGACGGCACGTCATCTGACTTCTCTTCATGCTTATCCTGAAGACAACCTGTCATCTGGCTCGCATGCATGCCTGTCCTGAAGACATCATGTATTCTGGCTTGTCGGCGTGCTTGTCCACAGAACAGTCGAGTCCTCACTGTTTAGGACATCATCTGGCTTGTCCCGAAGATAGCTTTGTCCTCATACTTGTCCAAAGAAACTGTTAAGCATCATGTGCCATGTTGGTGCGGTGTGGAAAGAGTGAGGACAGTCCGAGAGCTTCGCCCCCCAACCAGTTTGGGGGCCAAGGCAGACGAAGCTCTACATGCTGACAGCTTTCGCACATAAACACACACACATTCTTGACTGCCCAGCTAGCCACACTCTATTGGGCAGCACTGTTCCAGGTAGGGCAGTATTCTGCTCGGGTTCAACTACTCTCAGTTGTACTGTTCCATCACACACTCATTACAAGTACTCAAACAAAACAATAACTCTTTCCATCATCAGTGTAGACAATAGTGCATGCATCCACTCATATGTGCACAGGGGAAACACAATGGAGCCAAATAACTCTTGTTCAGTCTGGTCTGACAAAGGTGATGTCATGAATTTTCATGATATGATACGTAAAAACAAGAACAAAGTGAGAAAAAGCAGAAAATTCAGACGCAAAAGTAATTGTCACTAGCACTATAAATGTCAGCATATAGAAACAAAGTTAAACAAATTTTCCACATGATCTTCGCCAAGAGTTTTTTTTCACATCCAAAAGTACAAAACAGAAACGGCAGTATTTATATCCCCAGTGTTCCTCTTGTCCTATCGCCACCTTGTAGGTGAGCGCACTACACAGCATGCATGTATGCAGCATCAACATGGGTGTATGTGTGGCATGTCAACCAAGCCCTCCATCAACACGTCATCCACAGCTGACTCTGCTGGCCAGCCCATTGACCAGAACCTTATCGCTGTGCTTCTACTTCCATGCTCTTGGGTGAGTGAGACAGCTGCTGAGGTGATGAGGCATATGGTGAGGACCCAAACTTGTCTGATGTGGATAGCTTGGACAGTGCATTGAGTGCATCTGGGAAGTTGGGCGGTGTGGCAGGAGTGTTGGCTGGAGTACACAACTGAAACAGAGGCAATATTTTAATACTGGCCATTATAAACAATGCACCATGACACAATTCCTGAAGATATAAAGGAAAAATATGGCAGCAACTAACACAAAAATTAGTCTGTAGATTCACAGTTTCTCTTGACTGTGAATGAGAAATGTGACTAATGTTGCACCTCTATCAAAGGAGGACTAGCATCATCAAATGAAATACATAACAAAACCGCTGACACCGATATATTTGATGCTATAGTTTGTTTCAAGTCTTTGTGGTGACACAAGAAAGAAAACACTAGTACATTAACTAACATGCATCTCACCTAATTTATCTTCGCGGAATGAAATCTTTCTATTTATACAACAGAAGAAGACACCTTTTGGAGATAACATAACTGTTAAAGAATGTCTTGATTACTAATACTATGTAAAGTAATGTCTTTAAAGCATAAACAATTAGAAAGTGTTAATCTGTATCTTGAATGGACAAGATGCCTTATACACATGAATGAGTCATGTAAGTAATCAGAAAGAATCTGATAAACTATGCATCGTTATTTGTTTGTATGCATTCCATTGCAGCAAAGAGGACTGATTAGCCAGAAATATTGTCTTCATGGTGCATGCTTTGGAATATTTGAAAGAACGAATCATCTGGCAGTTACAGAAAACCCAGGGGTGGAAATAACTTTAAAATTGATAGTGTACTCCGGTACAGTGGCACATGTAAAGTCACTTGCCCTGATAATTTTTCCACTATACCAACCGTTTTCTTGCTGATGTTTTAATAAACAACATAATTAACATTGGAAAGGCAACTGGACACCGGTAAAGTGTGATATACAAATTTGCTTGCCCGACAGAAAAAAACACTGGACTCGGACGTCAGGCAGTGGGTTATTTCCACCCCTGAAACCCAACAAGAGTGATCAGTCAGTGACCAGTGATGAGTCACATACAAGAGTATTTAATGAACTATCAAAACAATACCATTGAATTAAGATTTAGAACTTTGTCTCTGTGTGTCACTAGGTCCTTTTACCCAAATATCTTTAAGGTGGCATAGGGCGGTGGGGTAACCTCAGGGCTCAATTTAGTGCTTTGTTACTTGCACTGGTGCAACCCAAAATTACAAAGTGCAACCTAGTTATTAGTCTAGTAATTTTTTGAGAAATAAATCAACAATAAATCTAACATTATAAGCATAAGTATGTAAGCTCATTTTTCTTCTCAACTTTGAATAATTCAATAGCACATTTCTTTCATAACATATTGCAATAAAATGAGTACAACTGGAACTTGGCTGGAGCAACTAGGTTTTTATCTTTGGTTGCACCTGGTACAAGTTGGTTGCCATCTCTTAAATCGAGCCCTGAACCTTGTGGTTCAAGTGGTCTGCTCATCATGCTGAAGACCCGGGTTCAATTTCCCATATGGGTACAATGTGTGAAGCCCATTTCTGGTGTCCTCTGCTGTGATATTGCTGGAATATTGCTACAAGCGGCGTTAAACTATCCTCACTCACTCACTTAAGGTGGCAAAGGAAGGGGCATATCTCCCTAATGTTGTAAAAGTTACTAACAGATTGAAGTTGGTCAGCTTTTGGAACTAGGCACTTAATACAATGTATGTAGCATATATACTACTCACACTTTGATAAGGATCACAAAAATTCAAAACTTTACTTAAACGTAGATTTATAATTTGAAATCGTATTCATTTAAAACTGGATAAATAATAATATGGTAACACCTCTGTAGGCAAAGAGCCACTTTAATCTAACCTTATGGACTTGATACATGAGTAACCACAAAAATGGTTTTCATGGCACCAATCAACCATTTTGCAAATCACGGAATGAGTCATTGACAAGAACACAACACCTGTCAGTAGCAGGTATGGGATCCACAAGATGAAATGACATACTGAAACCTAGGATCCATGCTTACAATAAGCTTAGATATTTAAACCAAATTTGACCCCACATCATAGTTTTCTGTTGAATCCATGATTTGATCCTTAGCAAAGTGTAAATAGTATAGAATACCTTTCAAAAGGGTTCTTAATTTCCCTTTCAATCCTATACATGCACCACTGCTGCTAAAATGCTTTATCAATAACACCAGCTAAACCAATGACACCACAACAATCACTTAATATTATTCTCCGGCTGTAACAACATCCTTGTTATGACTCAAAAAGAACTGAGGGCCATATCTAGCATGTGACTGGCCCAGCCACATAACACTTGTCCACAGTACCATGTCCACCAACTCCACCTTCTGTTCACATTCTTCAGTACCACACAGCCCATAACAGCCTCCACAATACTCAAGTTTGCTCCATACATCTTCCCCAAACACCTAGACCAACACATAGTATCTGAATATACATAATTTTGATAGAAATAAATATTCATTAAAAATTGCAAAAGAGCCCCAGTGAGATTCAGAGGCAATCTAGATTTGCTTCATTTGGGTCTTTAGCATTGCAGAAAGGGCAGGGCAAAAGGGAAAATAATGCGGTTCAGGGACTGTGAGACCGATTACCGAACACCAGACTCTGAACCTAAACAACAAGCCAAACATTAACAAGCTGGCAACATGTCCTGTGGACTTGTGGCCTAAATATCCCGATGAACTGGTTCACTGAGGCGAGACCAGTAAACACCACACCTAGACAAACACTTTATCAACAAAGGCTGCTGACATGAGCTGCAGGTTACACACAAACACAGCAGGCCACACTGGATGACACACCCAGGCTGACACACATTCACACATCAAAGTACACACACCATGTATTCATGTATGCAACCAAATTGAGTGTTTGTGGAGATTATCGGAACAGATGTCAGCATCTCTTATGATACACTGACACAACAATGTATCAACAGAAGTCAGACATTTCATAACTATTATGATGATCAGGGTTTTATTTTGGTTCAATTTTGAATTCATACAGTTAAACATAACAACACATCTGTAATGTCAGATGACCATCAACACCTTCCCACAATGCATGGCTGTTCCCCAATGCGACCTCCACGCTACAACAATCCTATTTAAAATATGGAAGTTATGATTGCCTCAGCACGAAGTTGATTGTGTGGAACAGGGACCAGATGTCCTGGTTTTATTTGCTACAATGATTACAATGTCAAGATGAAACATCTAAATGTTTTGTAGGTGCCTTACTGGGTTGGTAGGGAATTTTCAGTTTTCATTTGTAAGTTATACCTGAAATGACAGGTGCATGATTCAACAGAATCCACATATTCAATGACAGGGCTTGGCATTCTGTAAACTGGCTGACAGTTGCCCAAGACCCATTATGACTCAGCCAGATATGTCCAATCTAGTCAAATTCCACAATATTTGTATCAAACATTACAATACATTTGTAATCACAATCCACAAATATCTGTTGAAGTTGTCGTCATCCTGGCAGCAATCACTCAGTCATGAAATATGCCACAATATACGCTCAAGTCAACAATCCAGAAACCAAAACTATTTCATTCATATAACAAAGTTTACTATTTTGCTTTCAGGAAAATCTTTCAATACACCATCTTGAACAAGGAAGTTGAAAATTAAACTGCGTACTGCCCACGGTATTTCACTCCAGACTTATTTGATAAACAAATAAACAAGTACTCTTAAAGACCAAGTGAACTGAACATCACAACATGTTTCATGAAAACTTCAAACATGGATAAAGCTTAAAAATGTTAGTAATTGATCCTGCATAGAATGTCCTTAGTCCACAACACAAGTACAGGATGAAACAATCACAAAATCCAGGCTTTAAGAAATAGAGTCCAACACAATGACAGTGATTAGAAATTGCCAATCTGCATGCTCTGTTTCGAGACGCTGTACCACTGTAAAACAATAGCCACATTCTACACAGACTAAAACGCTAATAATGTTTCGAGGGAAGAAACAGGGAGAATCCTAGATGGGCAGGTGTTTTTAGATGAGTCCAGATCCTCTCTGGGCTAACTGGACGTGCATGGATGATGTCCAGATCCACTCTGGGCTAACTGGACATGCATGGATATGTCCAGATACTCTCTGGGCTAATTGGACATGCATGCATGCATGGATGTCCAGATACACTCTGGGCTAACTGGACGTGCATGGATGATGTCCAGATACGCTCTGGGTTAACTGGACGTGCATGGATGATGTCCAGATACGCTCAGGGCTAACTGGACGTGCATGGATATGCTAAACATACTAAACAACACTGACATCTCCTGTCTGCATGTTGACCTGACCTGTACTAAATAACACTGACATCTCCTGTCTGCATGTTCACCTGACCTGTACTAAACAACACTGACATCTCCTGTCTGCATGTTGACCTGACCTGTACTAAATAACACTGACATCTCCTGTCTGCATGTTCACCTGACCTGTACTAAACAACACTGACATCTCCTGTCTGCATGTTCACCTGACCTGTACCAAACAACACTGTCATCTCCTGTCTGCATGTTCACCTGACCTGTACCAAACAACACTGTCATCTCCTGTCTGCATGTTCACCTGACCTGTACCAAACAACACTGACATCTCCTGTCTGCATGTTGACCTGACCTGTACTAAACAACACTGGCATGTAATGTCTGCTCTGGCTAACTCCTTTATGTACCATGCTGTATTCTAGGCAGCCTGTTTCATTTCCTGCCAAACTTCCTGAAGCAACTTCTCGTTGAGTGAGAGGGCTATGTGTGGCTCAAAATTTAAGTAGTGAACAAATAACCTTTAGTATGAAGGGTACGATTTGATCCTATTGTCAAAGCATCTTTCATGGACCATGGCATGATGCAACATCATCAATAGTACCTTGTAAACGACAAAATGCTCCTCCCAACATAGTGTCAACAGGTAATTAAAATGATAACCAGCTTTGAACCAAACTGTCCTGGAAAATGAAATGTTTTCAATTCTTGTGATGACCTATAGTGATGTTGATCCCACTGTTCATAATTCTGTTATGGTGATT